GATGTGGGGAGGAGAAGTCTGGGAGGGGAGAGGGCAGAGACAGGCAAACCGTTCGAGACATCTCCCGCAATGTGGGCGCGAAGTCTGGAGTGCCCCCCCCCCCCCTGGCCGTTCGCTCTTAGCGTGCCCGAGTACCACGCTTGCTATATCGCGGTAAGCATTGAGCCATAGAAAAATGGGGAGGCAGAAGCAGGCAAACCAGTTGAGACATCCCCGCAATCTGGACGCGACGTTTGGAGTGTCCCCACCCTTGGCGGCTCCCCGTTGGGGTGTCCAGGTGCTACGCTTGCTATATCCTTGTGAGCATTGGACCACCGACATGTCTGAGTGAGTCTGTGTGAGGAAGAGTGTGTCGGAGCGATCGAGTCCAAATGTGTATGAGTGGGAGTGCGTTTGGGGATAACTCCCCGAGTGGGTCTAAGTAAGTCCGAGTGAGTCCTGAGCCTGAATAATGCAGAGATGTGGTTGAATTTGCGTGAGGAACAGAGAGTTCGTGATGGGACCCGTGAAAAGAGTTGATTTGTCATGGACAGTGATGGGCGTGACAGGTCTGAGCATGAGTACTTGCAAGATATGAGAGCGAAGAAGAGCAAGAGGAGGAAAAGCAGCACAAGGAGGGGGGAGGGCGGGAGGCCTCTACGGAATCTCCCGACGCACATCCCCATTTGTGCATCGCATACTCCCGCCACATCTCGCCGAGGAGCTATGTCTATGAGCATCTGGGTGTGAGAGCGAGTCCGCGTAGACGACAGGCGCGACAACGACGACGGCAACAGCCATGACTTCAGCGAAGTCCTCCTTTGGACACTTTTCCAGAAGGGACGATGGAATCACAAGTGGAAGAGCGAGGCGGAATTCCTCTTGCCGTTCCCCCCGTGGCACTTCAGGCAAGCGCGCATTGCGTTGCTACTCCCGGTCTCTGGCGTGCTACTCGCGTCGCCCTCTGGCATGCGGGGTTCCCGAGTGGCACGTTGGCCGGATCGCGGCAGCAATTGGTGCGTGAGCCTTGTCTGCGGGTGAACCCAAGCGTGGGCGATCTGCGTGTGAGCGATTCGGAGTGTGAGGGGATTTGAGGATGATTAAGCCTGACTGTGAGTGAGTCTGGATATAGCCAATGTGAGTACGAGTGGGTTTGGGTAGTGTTGAGCCCGGTTGCGAGCGGGTCTCAGTGCGAGTAAGTCTGAATGCGAGTGAGTTTGAGTGTGGGTGAGTTTGAGTTTGAGCGTGATGAAAACAAATCTGAGCATGAGCGAGCCTGGGTGCGAGGGAGTCTGAGTATGAGTGAGTCTGTGCGAGTGAGTCTGCGTGCGAGTGAGTCTGAATGTGAGATGGCCTGGGTGTGGGTGACTTTGAGTTCGAGGTATTCTACCCCATGGAGCAACATTCCTGGGAGACTTGCCCAATGGGGGTTTGTTTACTGGGGTTGTTCAGATCCCCGCTGGGTTGACCAAGGGGTTGTCCAGGGTAGGCCGTATCGTCGTTATTAATCAGCATGGGTTTTTCAGGTTGTTCGGGGGATTATCCAGGCATTGTTTGATTGTTTTTTTCCCGTTGAACATAGTAGCCTGGGTACGAATTAGTAGGTATGCGTGGGTTTGAGTATGATTAATTCTAGGTGTGAGCGGGTCTGACTGTGATGAGTGAGCCTGGGCGAGGAAGATGTGCTGATATAAATAAGTCCGAGCTGCGAATCAATCAGTGCGTCCGCGCGCGGGGAAATGGGAGGAGTGTGAGTGAGTGAGAAGGGAACGTGCGAGGAGTCTGCTGGGCAGAAACAGGCAACCCTCCTGATGTATCCCCACAATTTGGGCGCAAGTCATGGAATGGATTCACCCTTGGCGGCTCCCCCTTGGTGTGGCCAGGGGCCACGCCTGCTATATCGCGGTAAGCGTTGGACCACCAAAAGAGAAAAGTCTTGGGGGCGGAAGCAAGCAAACCGCCGAAAACACCCCACAATTTAGGCGTGAATTCTCGAATGTCCTCAACCTTGGCGACCCCCACTTAAGGTGCATCTTTGCCAAGATTGCTATATCGCGGTGTGCACAGCTGCATGAAAGCCAAAAGTCTGGGGGGCAACGACAGGCGAACCGCAGACGACAACCGCATTATATGGACGTTTTTTTATGTCCTCACCCCTGGCGGTTCCCCTTTGGGGTGCCCAAGTGCCACGCTTGCTATATCGCAGTGATCGCTGGACCACCGGAAGAGAAAAACAGTGGGGCTGAACCAGGCAAACCGTTCGAAGCATCCCTGTAATATGGGCGCGAGTTTTGAAATATCCTCGCCCGTGGCGCCCCCCTTTTTGGGGAGTGCTGAAAACAGCGCTCCGCCCGAGACATCCTCACAAACTGCAGCAGGAACCGAGGATGTTGGGGGCAGAAGAAGGTAATCCGTTTGAGACACCCCCACGATTTAAGCGACAGGTTGGGAGTGTTGGCGCCCCTGGCGGTTGCCCTTTGGGATGCCCAAGTGCCACGCCTGATATATCGCGGTGTGTCGTGGACAGCCAGAAACAAATTATGTGAGCCTGATTGGGGAATGGCGGGCCGGCGGGAGGGAGCTTGAATGTGTATGACGAATGCGTAGTAGGTTCATTCTGTGAGTGGTAGTGAACGAGTCCGAATTAGTCTGAGTCTGAGTGCGTTTGAGTGATGAAGTGATGTGGCTGGGTCCGTTTGAGGAAGGGGAAATCTGTGATGCACCCCGTGAAGAGGACTGGTTCTATAATGGACCGCGTGATGGGGGTGAGTGCTGTGAGTATGATTGTCTGGATGCTGTGGGAATGAGGAAAACGAATCGACGGAAGGAAGTTCAGAGGCGTCCAATCGAGAACCATGCCCCATCTCGGGATATAGGGACCGACCAATCTCCAACATCGCATGTCGGAATTTATGTTTTTAACATCGTCTTGCGATGTCTCGTAAAAGAAAAGGCCCCAAAGCGGCCCAAGAGGGTCCGCTGACAACCCGGCAGTTTCCCACGACGGTCCAAGAGTGCCCCAAGACCCCCAAAGATGCGACAACGGCGAGGGAACGAGAGGACATAAGAGGAGGAAGAACGGACAAGCCAGTGACCAGGCGCCATCACAAAGTAACTTGCACTTTCCGTCCCCGTGCCAAGCAGGTGACGGACAGAGCGAGGTACGAGCGATGACGTTGTGTGTTGGGTGAAGCGCCTTAAGGGAGGGGTCCAGGGGGGAGGCGTAGCGCGAACGGATGGGTTTAATGGCTGTTTTGGGGGGGGTCCCTTGGGTTTTTGCATGTTTTTTTGATTCTCCTTTTTTCCGTCCCAGAAGAGCCTGAGACCGCCCACGACAGCCCCAAGACGTCCCAAGAGGCCCCCCAGACGCCCCAAGAGGCGCCCAAGAGGCGTCCCGAGAGGGTCCCCAAGAGGCCAACATCATCGATTTTCCAGAGGAAAACGTACATTTTTAGCATATACGGCTTTTCGGCTTTCACGGCGTCGACGACGGCCCAAGAGGCCCCCAAGACCGCCCCAAGACGGCCCAAGAGGCTCCCAAGAGGCCCCCAAAACGGCCCAAGAGGGCCCCAAGACGGCCCCAAGAGGGGGACCGCGAACCGAAAAGTTTAGCCTTTCGCCCCAAGACGCTCCCAGGAGGCCCCAAGAGCCCCCCAAGAAGCCCCAAGAGGCCCCCAAGAGGCGTCCCAAGAGGCCACCAGGAGGCCAAAATCATTGATTTCCTATGGGAAATGTACATTTTTAGCATACAAGGCGTTTCGGCTTTCACGGCGTTGAAGACGGTCCAAGAGGCCTCCAAGACCGCCCCCAGACGGTCCAAGAGGCTCTCAAGAGGCCCCAAAAACTGCCCAAGAGGGCGCCAAGACGGCCCAAGAGGCGCCCAAGACGGCCCAAGAGGGCCCCAAGACGGCCCCAAGAGGGGGACCGCGAGCCGAAAAGTCGATCCTTTCGCCCCAAGACGCGCCCAGGAGGCCCCAAGAGCCCCCCAAGAAGCCCCAAGAGGCCCCCAAGAGGCCCCGACAAGGGCTCCAAAAGGGCCCCAATAGGACTCCCAAGAAGGCCCAGAGTCGCCAAGTAAAGAGCGATCGGTAATGCAAAAAGCGCTTAACACCAAGGCTCCCAAGAGCGAACGGTGACGTAAACAAGCTGATAAGACCAAGGATCCCAGCAGAGAGCGGTGACGTAACAAGTTCCTGACACCACGGCCCAGCCAAGGCTAAGGAACGGGCGGCAACGCAACAATCTCTGAACACCACGGCTCCCAAGAGCGAGGGGTGACGTAACCAGCTCTCAACGCCAAGGCTTCAGGTACGAACGGTGGTGTGAGAATCTTGGGTTTTTGTTGCTGCAGCGCTCTTTCCGTTTCTGTGCCGGGCCAGGTCTAGTGGGCTTCGGCCCATCCCGCCACTGTGCTTCGGCCATGGACATGAGACCTCTTACGGGTTTGGGAGGTCTATTGGGAAGCCTCTCGGGGGCATCTTGGAATTACGTTTGGGGCCTCTCGGGAGACTCTTGGCGCCTCCTGGGGGCGTTTCGGGCGCGTTCGGGGGGGCCTCTTAGGGGCCTGCTGGCGGTCTCGGTGGCCTCCTTTGGGGACTCGACATGCCAGTTCGGGTTCACCCTCTCGGGGCCTTCTTGGAGACCAGGAGGGGCCCTCTTGGGCGTCTTCCCTCTCGGGGGCCTCTTGGGCCGTTTTGGAGCATTGGAAGCCCGAAAAGGTGAGACCGCCAAATTCATTCAAAGTCTGTGAGACGATCAACGATGTTGGCCTCTTGGGGCCTTCTTGGAGGTCCCCTTGGAGCCCTCTTGGAGCGTCTTGGGGGCCTGTCGGACTGGTTTCAGACACTTTGGAGGAGACGAAACGCCATCGGTCCGTTTCGGGGCCTTCCTGGACCGTATTAGAAGCCTCTTGGGACCCTCTTGGCTTGCTTTGGTCCTCTCTGGCCCCGGAGAAAGTCACGCGTAAACGCGCGACAAGTCCCAGGACTTGAGGCTCAGAGCACTCCACTTCGTGCCTCTAGGCACGGCTGCGGATTTACATGTTTTTCTCCGCGGAGGCTGTATTAAAAGGGCTGCATCGGCCAGACGAGGGCGGCAGCGCAGGCGACGGCGAGGGTGCCACTATTTCCCTTGGAGTCTTCCTTGCAACGGTGGGCATCTTCGGCGACGTTAGCGATCTGTTTGGCGACCTCTACCAGAAGCTACTGTCCATCAACAAACTCTTGGAACCGTTGCACGATGTTACTGTGTTCTTCAACCTGCCAACAGAGCTTCTCGAGCTCAAACAAGTGAATCGACAGCTCCGGACAATGACGAAGAAGCTTCAGGCTGAAGCAATGCAGAAACCAGAGCCGTCTTTGGAATCGGGGCTGGTCAAGACGGACCTCATTCCCATAAAAGTTGTAGAAATGAGCTTTAGATATCATGGCCCAGTTGGCGACATCGACGATGCCGACGGGTGGCTTTTCCGAAACGTAAACTTGTCTGTAGATCAGGGACGTTTGGTTGCGCTAGTGGGCGCGCACGGCACTGGGAAGGCCACTTTTCTTCGCCTCCTGGGGCGGCGGATATTCCCCACAGAAGGGAGCGTCTATCCAGCTGCCTGCGGCAAACGCCGCCACCGCTCCAGCGCAACAGCGCAGCAGGAAGGATGTTGAGTTAATATCCGTTCTGGCTCAGTGCCTTGTTTGAACTGTCGCGGGTCTTCAACACCCCCTCCTTGTCCGCAGGCCCGGTCTCCTCTGTGGACGCGTATTGGGTGTTTCTTTGGGCCTCTTGGGCCTTTTCGGGGCCTCTTGGGGGCTTGTGTGGGCGCGATAGGGCCCGTCGGGGGTTTCGGTGCAGTCAGAGCTCTCCCGAAGAGACTCGGTTCCTTTCTTGGGACGTCAGGGCAAGTCTTAGAGCCGTCGTCAAGCCCTTTTGGCCGTTTGGGGGGTGTTCTTGGGCAGTCTTGGAGCTGTAGTGGGGCGCTATTGGGGCCGTCTTGGGGGCTTTTTGCGGGCTTTCTGACGCTTGTCTGAGTCGATCTGGACCCGGCCCGACAAGCATCGGAAGCCAACACGCAATGAGTCTTTCTCTATTTTTCAAATGTCGCCTAGTCTGGCCTCGCTGGAGGCCTCTTTGGGCGCCTCTTCGATACGTCTAGGGGCTAAGGGAGCGACACTCTAAAGCGAGCTGAGGGACGTAAGGAGTGGAAGCGAACGTGCGCCCGCGGCCGCGTCGGCTCAAGCGGCCGGCCGCCCAAATATGACTGTGCGTCACTGCGAGGCACACAATCGTTATCGAGACCAAAAGGATCTTCCTACTGCTTGAGATGGCATCTCCTTTCCGACGGGGACTATCGTTACTACGGTACAACAGAGCGGGAGCTTGGCTTCGCCTGAGGCGAAGCTGCTGGCTGGGCCTTCCAGCCCCCTTCAAACTTGGTAACGGAGCTGGCCTGTGGTGGTCAGCTCTAGTTTTACTCCTCACCATCCACGGCACTATCTGGTGGACTACAGATATGGTGGAACATCGGGGTGCAGTGGGTTTGCGCGGAGGAATGTACAGAACTACGCAGTACCGCAAGGAAACTTGCAGCGATACATCTGTTCCAGCGCAGGTCTCTCACTCACATCTTACATCCCTCCGCTACTACACTCCTGAAGTACACCCACCTACTCCAATTGGGAATTTCTTTGAAGGCATTATGCATGGAAACATGCGATACGACATACTGCCACCTCCGACCCCACGCAGACTTACGACTAAACAACATAAGTCCCAACCGAGGATAGGCGGTCGCCACACCGACGGCGTCACCTACATGATGCACGAATTTCGAGAACCTAGAAGAGGAACGCCATCTCAACTCTGGTACGGCTCTTGTTGACTTTCGAGTTCATGCGGGTGAACGTATCGACCAGACGTTAGCACGGTTCGAGATAGCCCGTTACGAAGCTGAAGCAGCCGGCTTCAATATCCCCGACTTCCAAATCCTAGCAGTAATTATATTCAGAGCTTTTGGAGCGGGGACATCGCGTGCACAACAACTCTTGCAGCTTCTGAACCACCACATGCCGAGAGGCCAACGACAATTTGACGCTCTACTTGAACGTATGAGGTCATATGCTCACATAGCTGAGAGGACCCCTGACAATTTTGGTGGTATCTTTAGCCACGGTCACCGAACCGAGACCTTCCACGTAGAGGCCAACGCAGGGCAACCTGCCAACAACGTCTGGAACGATGATCCACAGCCAACTGAGACCATTACACTGCTGGCTCAGAATGGTGGAACGGCCTCGGGGTCGCAAGACTCCTGGGCCAGACCTTGGGGACCGCCTGACGCGATTTCCCTGTGTACAAGCCATGGCCCTCATGGGCTCAGCGGGGCAACCCGCCGAGTCCGACTTCGACTCCGGTACCGATGCGGATGCGTCTTCCGATGACGAAGCTACCGCCCTGGATTACTCTGATATGCCTACATACCTTACTGAAGAGCAACAAGCTCAATGGTTATTTTCGGGCGACCAAAAACACAAGCGTCGTTGGCGGAGGTTCATGAAGAAACCAGTCCGAAAGGCAAGTCGTATTGTACGACGATCACTGAAAGGAAAAGGCAAGGGTCGAAGTAAAGGCACAGGTAAGCGTCGGCGATTGTATGGTAGAGGCATGCTGGCATTCCTGGCGTCTCTTACTGGACCTCAGTATGAAGCAATGTTTTTAGGTACTGGCAGAAACCGCAGGCATACATCAGGCAAAGGTAGAGGACGACGAGGAAGCCCAAATGATGCCAACGGTAAAACTATGGAGTGCGACATATGCCACATCACACAACATTTCCGACGCGAATGCCCCCAAGGTGATGGAAGAGGCAGAGGTCCGTCAATACATCTGGCTCAAACGGACTCCGACATACAGCATGTTGATTGGGAGTCGCTTTTAGCCGACCCTGCCGACGGCTCAGCCACAATTGTTCATTTCATGGTCGCCAGGTATCTGAGCGCCAGCATGGCCCTCGAGAGTTACGCCGGCGAGCTGTTCGAGGAGGTGCCCGCTGGCCACAATGACATCGAGATGGCAGAGTGGCTGGGTATACCCATCGCGGGGCCATCTGCAGATATTGAGTTTGTCGAGAACTTCCACATGCCCATCGAAGGTGACTTTGGCATGGCGGGGGCACCCGCGGACTTAGAATCTACCATTCCTGCAACTGATGAGGAAATCTATGCGATGCTCTATCCCCGGGCGATTGGACATCCGACAAACGTGGAACTAATCGATGGTGATCCTCTGCGGGGAAACCCGCGCGACGCTGGTGATCTACCTGAGCGTATTCAATATGAGCTTGGTCATAATGAAGAATTTCAAAACACTTTGTTTCGTCAGTTCGATCCGTCAGCCGCCAGAAGCGATCGCCAAGCCGCCCAGCCTTGGGTAAGAAGAATTTTCGCGACGATGGCGAGGACGACGAACGAGGAGACAGTGACCGCATGACACGTCGCGGTTGAGCTCCCAGCCACTCACCAGATCGTTCGCGAGCCCGTTCGAGTGGCATTCATCGCCCTTGTCCCCCCGACGCGGGAACCCCAAGGGCCCCGCCATGGCAGGCGACTAGACCACATACTCCCCCAAGGAGGGATCGCTCGCGGGGAAGACCGCCTCAAGGTGACCAACTGCGAGGAGGAGAATATCAAGAAGGTGAGATGCAGCGTCTGGGAGGCTACGCTGGAGCTGGATTGGCCGTCAGCACATGCCCGCAAGCCAGATGGAATACTGGCTGGCTCAGGGCTGGAACGAGCATCAAATTCGGCACTTGTATTCTCTTTGCCATGTCAAACGAGATGATGCTGGCAATGTCATGCGTTCAAAGGCGGGACCTACCAAATCACAAGATAAGATGGCCACGCGTGGCACCAAAACGGCCATCATCGAATATCGAAAGCTCTACAGAGGCATTTGTTGCACATGTCCCAGCGATGCTGACCAAAGGCTCGGCTGCCCCGTGAGGCGCTCATCAAGAAGCCCGAATTGCAAAAGGACACCGTGGGTTTGGTATCATGGAGATGGTCGGGGCCACTGTGCTGATCTCAATACTACGCCATATCTTGAGCAGCTGACGGAGAAAGATTATGACCCCGCCACCGCTGTGGAAATAGTTCATTCAAACCGCGTTTGGCAGAACTTGATACCTACTCACTATTTGGCGCAATTCAATTGCGAGTGGCACGCGGGGAAACCTGTTGATCACAAACCAGAAGAAGAAGGCCAACACTAAGCTGGCGAATATGAAGATGATGATATGGCTGAAGAAGTTGATCCTACGGACGCTGCACCTGAAGGGTACGCGTCAAGCGATTCGGGTGATGCGGGCGTTACGTGTCAGACATATGCTTTGATCGACCCCAATTACGTTGTCGCAAAATATATAAATCTATCTCCTGGGAGGCAAATTGCTTACCGTGCTCAAACAATTGGCTGGATAAAGACAAACATAGCCGAAAGACAAAACGCCAATACCTACCTGGTTACGGGCAAGTACAATATCCCCATTCAGAATATGGCCCTCAGGACGCCAGATAATGTCGACTTGAGTCCTGACCGAGGCCCCATGCGTTATGCACAAGGGGCGCCGACAGGGGCCACGGCAAGGACAACTCCTAAGCCAAAGCCAGAGGCGGTCGATCTCCCTTCCATATTCCGATTCATCAAGCCCACCTCTCGGTCCTGATCAGCTGAAGCCCAAGATAAATAAGAGGAAGGGCCCAGATGATCCCAACCCTGGGGGCAGCAAGCAGCAGCGATATGCGGGGCAACCTGCTGATCGACAACGATCCAGAGGGCCGGCAGTGGCCGCCGCAGCAGCTAGATTCCAGGGCACCAGTGCGCCCACTCCAGAGGAGCCTGTGCCACGTCGCGGCCCTGCGCCAGGTCGGACGCGCAGGACAGGATGGGCGCCCGCGGTGGAAGGGCGGATGCTTCCTCTACGGAACGTGGTACCGAAAAGTTATTGGCCACCACGCCAAAGGTGCCAGGAACGGTGCCCAGAGATGCGACAGCCGAGTCCTACGACGTCAAGGAAACGCCAGGGCTTCGATATCAGTACCCCGCCAGGAACTCCACGGACGCCCAGAGGATCTGCTGGCGCTGCCACATCGGCGGCGAGCGCCGCAGCGCCTGCCGCGCCAATGGCAGCCCCACGCTCCGCGGGGCAACCTGCTCAGAGTTATGCGGGGCAGCCTGCTCAGAGTTCAGCGGGGCACCCTACCCCCGCGTTGGAGGTGCCAGCGGAATGCCGAGAGCTCTGGGAAAAGATGGGGGTTTCCAATCCCACGAAGATCAACCCAGCGTATCATCCTCGGACTGACGACGGGAATGATCGATATACGGTGGTGCAGTGCAACATCGTGGACACTGCTAGTCACCATGGCCCAGATTCACACACGCGCCAAGTAGTGCGCAACATTCTGATGAAACGCCCAGCGCTCACGTTTGACGCTGAAGGGGAATATCTGGAAAACTTTTTCATTTCAGACAATGTTAACAGGCCGAATTTCAGGCACGACGATCAGCGCAAGAATTTCAGAGTGGCTGACGACGGCCCTCCGTCACAAGC